CCCCACCCCCACCCTCACCCCGGGCACGCTGCTGAGACAGCCCACTGAAACTTGGCATGGTAGTACATGCCTGTAATCCCAGCACTTTGGAGGCTGAAAACGGGAGCATCACTATGAGTCAGAGCTGTGTAGTGAGACCATGAAGACCCTTGCAGACCCTGTCCTAAATACATAAGTGAATGAATAATGAAAAATTAGTCACCCTTTCAGGAAATCCCATCAGGAATGCTACAGAATTTTACTTGGGTTGTGTGACAGTACAACACATGTGTAAGTACATTTTTTTTTAAGTACTAAAAGCTTAAAACACCTACTCATCTCACTTATCTATGTGAGTCATGTCTCAATATTCACATTTTGAAATACATGATATTAAATTTCTTCTATTGTGGTTAGGACATTATTTTGACATTTTCAAATTATACAGAGAGCCAGGTATGGTTGCATTTAGCTGCAATACCAGCACTTGGAAGGCAGAGGCAGAAGGATGGTTGTGAGTTCATGACCAGCCTGGTCTACAAAGTAAGCTCCAAAGCAGCCTGAACTGTAGAGTGAGACCCTATCTCAAAGACAAAAACTGTTCAGCGGACTAAGTGCCCGCTTCGGCAAGTGCAGGGACCCGGGTTCAGATCCACAGTATCACATGCCACACTGTCCCCGGGTGCACTGAGCCGGCCACCAATACCTGGTATGCTGGTGCACGCCTATAATCCCAACACTGAGGAGGCTGAAAACAGGAGGCTCACTATGAGTCCAAGCTGTGTAGTGAGACTCTGTACCAAATACATTTAAAAAAATAATTCAGCAGGGTGTGGTGTGCACACCTGTGATGCCAGCACCCTAGGCTGAGGCGGTAGGATCAATTGGTCCCCATGAGTTCAAGGCCAACCTGAACTACATAGCCTTTGTCTCAAAAACAAATCTGGTTAAGCTCAAAAATGGGCATAAAAGCCCTCGTCCCTACTCTTAAGTGAAGGCAATTTCAAGAGACAATCAGTTATCATACAAATACAGTTATGGCAATCTGCTAGGAAGGGAAAAAATATTCACTGTGTGGACCCAACAAATCTCAAAGGAAAGGACGCCTTCAAGAGGTGACTTATTCCTGACAGGATAAACACGAGTTAACTAGGAGGTAGTAGGAAACCATGAAGGATGAATCTCTGTTTTTCCCTTTCCCCAGCCCCCTCCCTCTGCGGATTAAAGCCCCTGCAATCAGGCGCTGGGGCCAGAGGTTCGATCTTTGAGCCTACTGCGCCTGCCCCGCCCCCGGGGCGTGCTGAGACTGCGATTGAGACTAGGCCTGGTGGCGTGCCTGTAATCCCAGCTCTTGGGAGGCTGTAAACAGGCGGATCACTACGAATCCCATCTAGTAGTGAGACCCTGAACACCCTGTAGATCCTTCCCTAAAATACAAAAAAAAAAAAAAAAAAAAAAATGCAGCATCTACAGGGACTATAGGGTCTCACTACACAGATGGAACTTGTAGTGATTCTCCTGTTTTCAGCTTCCCAAGCGCTAGGATTACAGGCGAACGCCACCACGCCCTAGGGTCGAGGCTGGCAAGGCAGGCCGTGGTTCAAACCTCTTGACTCCTGTGTCTGCCTAAGCAGGTGCTTTAAACCGCTGAGCAATTTGGCCAGCTCAAGGACCTCTTGATGACAGGAATAAGAAGGTCCCATAGGATGGGGAAAGAGAGAAAGTTGGTTTGGAATTTAGGAATACAGGACTTAAAATGAGGAAGGAAAAACAGATGAGGATCCTCGCCAGAATGTGGAGGATCTAAAATGTTGTGATCAGAACTGCCTTTAAGGGTCCCTCCAAGCTGTTAGTGTAGGCCACACATTTTCCATCTCTTTGAGACCAGAGAAACCACCTCGTGTTGATTAACACTTGAGCACAAGGATGCAGGGTCCACAGGATGCAACAGGTCACAGATCTCTGCCCAACGGGCGTAGATCCTGCACACACAGCCAGGCGGCCGCGTGTCACTAAAGGCCTTGCACTGAGCTCAGCAAAAATGGCCCAAGTGCACATAGATCGGCATCCGCCCAGGCATACTTGCTCATTTACACAGAGCTGGCCAAGTACACGTGTAAATGCACACGCACGAGCATTTGAAGCTGTCCCCGAAGACGCACAAATCCCCTTCCTTCCGCGCCCCACCTGGATCAGACCTCCACTCCGCCCTCGTCCCGACTCCAGACTCTGCCCCTGCCCTGCAATGCTCACTTTTCAAACTTACTCTGAGCTGTCTCCACGCCATGCTGCTTAGGCCACTGAACCCGGTTCTAGCTCACTGGGAGGCCACAGCAACTCCAGCCCTGAGCCTCCAACCCCCCAATGGGCGGGAAAGGGGGCGGAGCGAGGGCGCCCGCGGGGGAGGCGGGAAGGGGAGGGGCAAATTGGACGCTCCGCGCTTGCGCGCTCCCTTAGGCCACGCCTCTTCCGTTCCTCAGCTTCCCAGCGTCGTCCTGTTGCTAGGTTTCGCTCGGGCAGTGAATGCGTCAAGGCCTGCGGAAGAAAGCTGGTTGCTTCCCTCGTAGATGTTACGCAGTTTTTAGGTTTGGGTTTTTTTTTTTGCGGGGGGAGCGGGGATAGTGCATATTTGCAGTACATATCACGGGGAGTTGGTATGCATACACGCATCCAGTTTTTAATTCCCTACTCCCAGCTCCTAATTCTTCATTCCGTTCATTTACAAAAGTTCTATTTTCCTTTTTTCCTCAATTCTGTTTTAATCCTCTTTCCTTCCTCTCCTTACTGCATCTCTTGTGCCCCTATCCAAAAAAAACAAAAACAAAAACAAAAACAAAAACAAAACTCCTTTATCAAGTGTATAATTATTGAGTTTCTCATATGAGAAACCAGGTCTTCGTGTCTGGCTTATTTCACTTAACGTGGACTCAAGGTGCATCCATTTACCTACTAATGCTTCAAGTTTATCTTTGAGGCAGAATAGTATTCCACTATATATACATACACTTTCTTTAGCTATTCATTTGTTAATGGACATGTAGGCTTCAAGATTTAGCTATTATAAGCTGTGCTGTGTACACACGAGTGTGCGTTTATCAGTGTAACGGTTTTAACTCAAGAAGCTACTTAGAAGCAGAATAGCTAGGTTAAATAGAATTTTTAGTTTTAGTTTTTTTGGAGGCATCTCACCACTGATGTCCATAGGGTACATTTCCACCTACAGTGTAGAAGGGTTCCTTCCCCCCACAACCTTTTAGCATTTGTTGTTGTTTCATTTCGTGTGTGTGTGTGTGTGTGTGTGTGTGTGTTTTGAGACAAGGTTTCCGTTGAACTCATTAGGTAGATCTGGCTGGCCTTGAACTCATGCCAATCCTCCGGAGTCCTCAGCCTCTGAGTCCTGGGATTACAGGCGTGTGCCGCTATATCTGGAGGTATTTTGACTTCTTGATGATGCTTGCTATTCTTGCTTGCATAATATGGCATCTCGATGTTATTTTAACTTGCATCCCAGCAGTGTTAAATACATTTTCATGTGTGTATTGGCCGTTTGTACTTAGAAATATCCCTTTATGGGCTGGAGAGATGGCTCAGTGGTCTAAAGCACCTACTTAGAACAAGCTTAGCAAAGCACCAGGGACCGCGGTTCAGTCCCATGCCAGCCGGCCCCGCCCCCTGGTGGGCTGAGCTGGCCACACACACACCACACACACTCTCTCTCTCTCTCTCTCTCTCTCTCTAATAAGTAAATAAATAAAATTTAAAAAAAAAAGAAATATCCCTTTATTTCAGTTGCCAATTTTTTCAAATGGATCTTTTATTTTAAGGAGGTCCGTGTTGTAATTTTTTTATGTAGTCTAGATGTTAGTCCTCTGTCTGAGGAATAGCTGGCAAAATTTTTTCCCATTCTGCATTGTCTCTTCACTCTGTTTCCTTTGCTGTGCTGGAGCTTTTTAATTTGATTTGATCCCATTTGTTGATTTTTTTTTTTTCTTGTACTATTTTTTGTGCCATTGGTGGTGTGTTCAGAAAGCCTGTGCTTATACCTATATCTTTACCAGTTTTACCTGTTTGTTTGTTTTTTCTTCCAACAAATCATTTTAACATTTAGATCCTGGACCATTTAGATTTCAGTTTAGTACATGGTAAGATGTGGGTGCAGACTATCTTCTGCAAGTGGATATCAAATTTTTTCAAGTACCATTTATTAAACAGGCTGTCAAACTTCTAGGGTATGCTTTTAGCCACTTTGTGAAAGATCAAAGAGCTCTGTGTGCCTAGGGCTTTTTCTGCTTCCTCTGTTCTGTTCCATTGAGCTACCTGTCTGTTTTTATGCCACTACTGTGCTGTTTTAATCACAGTGGCCACGCAGTATAACTCGAGGTCTGGGATTATGATGCCTCCTGATTTGCTATTGTTTTGTTTATTTTTTGTTTTTGTTGTTTTTTTGTAACCCAGGATTGCCTTTGCTATTCTGGGTCTCTCTGGTTCCATATGAATTGTAGGATTTTTCTTTTTCTAGATCTGTGAGGAATGCTGTTGGTATTTTGATTGAGAGTGCATTAAATCTATTTATCAGTTTTGGAAGTATAACCATTGTAATTTAGCAGTTTTGCCTATCCAGGAACAGGGTTATCTTTCCATTTCCCAATGTCCTCCTCAACTTCCTTTTGCAGGCCAATGTAATTTAGGTATTTAATTTTTCTTGATGCTATTGTAAAATGGTTGTGTTTTTCCTACCTTGAATTCATCATTAGCAATAAAGTTGATTCTTGTGTGTTTAATTTGTATCCTGCTATGTTGCTGAATTTGGTTATTAATGCTGGGTGTCTTTTGCTAGGATATTTCAGGTTTTAAAAGTGTAGAACCAGGTCAACTGCAAATAAGACTTTTACTTCATTTCCTATGTGTAGCTTTTTTTTTTTTTTTATTTTAGTACAGGGTCTACAGTCTCACTACACAGGTCCAACTTGTAGTGATTCTCCTGTTTACAGCTTCTAAAGCACTGGGATTACAGCACACACTACCAAGCCCAGTCTCCATGCACCCTGGGGGCAGGGCTGGCATGTGTTGTTGTTGTTGTGTTGTTGTTGTTGTTGGCGGAACTGGGGATTGAACTCAGGCCCTTCCGCTTGCCAGGGAAGCACTTATTCCACTGAGCCATCTCCCCAGCCCCCTAATGTTTTGAGAACTGTTTTAAACAGGAGTGATAACAATGAACATCCTTGTCTTGTTACTGATTTTAGGAGGAAAGCTTTTTGTTTTCCTCCATTTAATATGATGTTAGCAGTTAGTCATAAATGACTTTTGTCAGGTTGAGATGAGATCTTTCTGTGCCTATTTTCATCCAGGTATTTTTTTTTTTCTTTTTTGTATTTTAGGGAAGGCTCTACAGGGTGTCCAGGGTATCACTACTAGATCACACTCTTAGTAATCCGATTAGCCTGTTTACAGCTTCTCAAGAGCTGGGATTACAGGCAAGTGCCTCCACTCCCAGTCTCAATTGCTATCTCAGTATTCCCCCCGGGGCGGGGCAAGCACAGCTCATCTAGGTTTGTTTGTTTGTGTTTTGCGGAACAGGGGATTGAACTCAGGCTCTTGCGCTTGCCAGGGAAGCGCTTATTCCACTGAGCCATCTCCCCGGCCCTCATCTAGGTTTTTAATCATAAATGGATATGGAATTTTTTTCAGTCTTTTCCTGCATTTGTTGAGATGATTGTATGATTTTTGTCCTTCCTTCTGTTTATGTGATGAATTACATTATCAATTTGTATATGTTGAACCATCCTTGCATTACTGGGATGAAGCCTACTTGGTCATGATGTATGATTTTATTTATTTATTTATTTAGGCTTTGCTGCATTCTGTTTGCCAGTACCTTGTTGAGGATATTTGTATCTATGTTCTTTAGAGAAATTGGCCTATAGTTTTCTTTTTAGTTGGATCCTTGTATGGTATTGGGATCAGTGTAATGCTAGCTTCCAAGGATGAT